TGATGAAAAGACAAAAAACAAGATCACGTTTTGTTCATATGATATATATTTGTATCGAAACTATAAGAAGACATAATCGGAGGACATATTTTCATTCATAAATTTGTTTATTTCCGGTCTAAAGATTATTTAATTCATTATTTGAATGAGACTAATAAAAATTGACGATAAAATAGTTACAATTATGTTATTAATACTATAAAACTTAATGTTTTGGAGTATTTTTTAACATGAAATGAGTTGTCAATAGAAATATCTGGTTGGAGAAAGTATAGACTGCTTGGGAATTAAACAAACAATTATCTCATCATATTTTAGATAATAATTATAACTTAAGAGTTATTGCCGTAAACACCATATGAATGAGTATTTACTTTAATTCATAAAAACTCCGGTCTTATGGTTCATAACAAAAGGAAGTGTTTTTTCCACAACACATATCTGTGTCATTGATTAGTTGTTTTAATTCATCAAATCGTTTATAATTCACAAACAATTTGTCACTAAATGTAAGCAAATTGTTTATGAATTGAAACACTACTACATAAGACATTTTTACACTTACGATTATCTACAAATAAATAATAGTTGAAAACAAATACCTCTATGTCTATGCCCCAAGTACTCCTATACTCTATTTATAACATGATTTTATGGGGCTATTAATTTTGGTCTTAAATTGAGGGTATTTTAAGTTCAAGAAAATTATAAAATTCAGATCAAACTGGACACAATCCTAAAACTTTAAAATATTCATTTAATGTGAATTGAATTCACAGTCATATATGAAACGGACGATTAAGAAGAGGTCTAAACCGGTCACAAAATGTGGTAATTTTCGGTTCTTAATGACTGACATTAAACCAAATTTTTGTTTCTAATATTTGAACTAAAATGACATAAAAAGAGAATACAATCTAAGAAAATATTACAAAAAATGCAGAAATAAAAGCCAATTCTTGTGTCTATTGAATGAAATCAATACATGAGTTCCCTTTAACTGGTTTTCCCAAAAATTAGGGTCCTATTGGCTGGGATGGGACGCACCTCCCGTCATAGGGATTGGGAATTATTTGGCGGGTATTCATATATTTGGCGACAAAACCATAGCATAGGCTGTCCGTATAAAAGAGAGCAGATATACCTTATCTGTGAATAAATTAAATTCCATTAACCTCTCAGTTATCACAGAAAAACACATAAGATTTGCAAAATAGATGAAATGATTGAATGGTAGGCAGTGCTCAGTGAGAGGCCGGAAGATTGTTGTAATAGAAGTTACTTTTTGAGACTTTATTTCGTATATAAATATATATTTGTGAAGATAAGGAATGTATTTTGTAACCTTTGGTCGGAATAAATAAATAGATACTAACTGTTGGTTCTGTTTCGCGGAATCAGTTTTTTGTCATTTATTTTCTATACTTGAAAAACGGTATAAAAGTTGAATCAACTCCACCACTCAAGTCATTGATTCAGTGAATGATTTACTAAACAAACAATTAATACACAATTGTTTAGAAAAGGAAAGTTATAAAATCTTCGTCCAAAGCGACCACTTCTTTAGTCTGTGCTCAGAGTCTACAAGAATTGGTTGAAAAAGTTTTTAACTAAAAGTTTTGGCATATATTCACCGCAAATATGAGACAAAAGTTAACGATTCTGTTCGCACCTCCCGATGGTGTCGGACACGTGAACGCCTGCATCGGTATCGGCGAAGTGCTCAGAGATAGGGGACACCGGATTGTGTTCGCTGTCTGTGATATCTGGAAGAATAAACTCATAAAATACGGCTTCGAGGAAGATATCATTCGCGTGGCTGAAAGTGATAATGATGTCGATCCGGGCACTTATTGGGCCACAATGTTCTCAAAGGGAGGTATGTTTGGCGCCAAACCGCCGATGGAGAAGATGAAGAACTTTAACAAATTGACGGCAAACGGACTCATCAAACAAATCCAGGCCTCAGACCGAAAGATCAAGGAATGTGTCGAAAGAGTCAAACCCGATATCATTGTCATCGACGGCTTCGTTTGGATGCCATCGCTCATGAATTCCGGTATTCCGTGGGTTTGGTCCGTCAGTACTAACTTACTGTCCATTGATCACGCTTTCGATGACGAAGAGATACCACCCGGAGGTTTAGGTATGTAATTGTTTGAGTTACTAAAGTTAATATAAATATATTCAAAGTATCAATGTAGTCAAAGTATATATTTGTTATTATGTATACCATTTACACAGTCGGTGCCAAACAGTCTATAGATTCCGTGTGAATGCCATTGAAAGTAATTACATATAATTTATGAAATCATTATACGAGTGATAAGATTAGAAAATACTGTTTACTGCACACAGAGTTTAATGTCTCGTAATAATAAAGTAAAGAAAGTAATGAAAGTACATAAACTGAAGCCATAAAATAGACAATTGATAACTGAGTGCACCTATTGTTTCAGGTCTTCCCGCAAACGGCGATAAAAAGTTGTGGAAAAAGTTAAGGGAAGAGAAGAACGAGGCGTTGACTCAGACGTTAGAGAACTTCAACAACTGGTTGGTGGACAACAACTTCCCGACTCTGCCCACCCATAAGCTGATCACCCCTTCCCCTTATCTCAACATCTATATGGTTCCCGAAGAGCTCGACTACACAGACATCACGAAATTCCCGTCCAATTGGCATCGATTCGATTACTTCATGCGCTCCGGTTGTGGAGACATCTTCGAGATCCCCGAGAAGCTGAGGAATAGGACCGGAAAACTGTGTTATCTGTCGATGGGCTCAATGGGCGGCACAGACGTGGAGCTCATGAAGCGGTTAATATCGATCCTCTCGAAGTCTTCGCACCGGTTCATCGTATCCAAGGGTCCACTCCATGACAAGTTCGAGTTGGCGGACAACATGTGGGGCGAGCAGACGGTGCCGCAGATCAAAGTGCTTCAAGTGGTGGATCTGGTGCTGACTCACGGCGGGAACAACACCTTTACGGAGACCTTCTTCTTCGGCAAACCGATGATAGTATTGCCGATATTCTGCGATCAGTTCGATAACGCACAGAGACTTCAGGAGAAGGAGTTGGGCCTCCGGATAGACCCATACGAGTGCACCGAAACGGAACTCCTATCAAGTATTGACCGACTCTTGAATGACAAGCAACTCCTCAAACGATTGCAACGAATTTCAAAACGCATTCAGAAATCGAAAGGCATTTCCAAAGTGACTGAACTTATCGAAGGGTTGGCCTCTAAATGACTTTATATCACATCTCAACACAAATACATAAAATATGAAAACAGCAAAAAATATGTTTTATTAGTTATACTTTATTATATAAACATCTTTTATAAACTTTTTTTGATCAAACATTTCATTCGCAGATAACTCTTATTTTTAGACTCATTAGTTTTCTTACGATGTAAACGACTCTTAAGTTAATACAAATCAAATCATTTATAAATCATTTTTATGTCTCTTATCTCTACGATTATGTCATTGGCTTTTGGTTTCACTTTTCATAACTATTTTTGTTTTAATTTTTATTATCATTTTAAATCTTTATTTAATAATTGTTTACCGATTTATGTAATGAGTAGTACTTTACTGATTCACAATTTACTTAACATTTGTAAACTAATTATATTTATATTTTTAAATAAACTTAATTTAACAAATAACATGATTTTATTCAGCTTTTAATTGATTCATTTGATGATTGAATGACTCGTATTTTTGCAATTAATGGCTCATATCTTATAAAACAAAAATTTAGTTCAGAATTTCATTAAATAGTATAAATTTATCAATATTTCATATAAGTCATGTATATTCGGATTATTTACCGTAGTATTAAAAAATTTACAAATAAAGTAAATGTTATGAAATCATTACACAATTACTAATACACGCAGTAATATATTTAATGACAATTACTTTTCAAAATAAACTTCAATTTTATTGGATTTTGTAATATTGTTTAAATTGAATACAATTATTTTATATTAAATATTTGGTGTGACATTTTCTGATGTTTAGGTCTTTGAGTGAATATTTGATTTTAACTTTAATTTGACACTTATTATAACTAATTTTCAGAAATAATATACAGTACAGGGTAAGTTTGAAGGATTGATAAGCATGTTATTTGCAGTTATTGTCAAATATTTTGTGGGTTTTGCCTAAAATTCCTTCTCTTTCTCATTCATTTAAAATTTAAAGTTATAATCCTTTTTGAATATTTATCTATAAAATGATAAGAATTTATTGACATGTTTTACATTTATTATCAAAAAATTTATGATAATTTATAAAAGAAATACTTTTTGAACCAAAATTAGGCATGTATTCAAGATATATTATTTATAAATAATGTACAATGTAAAAATATTAACTAAAATTTTCCATTTACTAAAAGATATAATTATAATAACTGATAATTGGCTTGAATTGTGTCTCATTAATACCTCACCAGAAGAATGCCTGCACTCAAGACATTGTATCGGTAATGATAACACAATTAAATAATTTCTAAATCTAATACATCTTTTTAAAATTTGTATGAATTGTATAGAAAGCGGACACTATTCCTGTTCATATCGATCTCACTATTCGTCATTTGTCTCACAGTTTTTGTCAATTTTGTGAACAATTACATAAAGAATGACTATTTAGGAGACTATCACTCGGAATCTCATTTAGGGGTATATAATAGATATGCCGTCTCTACCGACTCATCCCAGTGCGCACACATAGGCAAGTATGTACAGTACTACTAATTTAATTTGTATTTAATAGTTATTAATTTATTTTGACATAAATTTCAGACAAATTTTGGACTCAAACGGAACGGCAGCCGACGCGGCCATTGCAGTGATGCTATGTATGGGCGTTACGATACCCCACTCCATGGGCTTAGGAGGCGGTTGTCTTATCTTAGTCTACAACTCAACCACAAAACAGACGGTTGTCATCGACGGCAGGGAGGAGGCGCCCAAAGAGTCGCACAGAGACCTCTTCGCCAACATAAGCTGTGACCCCAGACTTCCCCTCTCTATAGGAGTTCCCGGAGAACTGGCCGGTTATTGGGATGATGTGGTCTCCAAACCCGCTGAGCTCACCAGTGTCGAAAAGCTACCACGGTAACTTAATTCATCTCTACCGAAAATACAAACGTTAGTAAACCTATTACGGGAGTTTATATACTCATTTGTATATGATAACAAATTCTCAACTCTTCGGTAATTGAATATATCTATAACTAATAGATTAAATACTTAATTTTGTCATTTGTAGCAAATTATTTATAAATCCAGATACTAATGAACGCTATGAGCAGGGACATAAAATGAACAATGAGAAATTAGCACATACTCTGGAGAGATTAGCTAACAGTTCAAATCCAATTGAATTGTTTTATGAAGTTATTGCTAAAGATATTATTGAAGATATTCAAGAATTCACGAATAAATCCAATTTTACATGTGAGTAGAGATTTCAAAAAAATATTATTTAAAGAAAATTTATTTTTTTAATATTATATATAGCAATAATAACATTAGAAGATTTCCAGGAATATAAACCGAAAACTAATTTAATTCCCGTTAAAACTCATCTGAAGAGAGGGAACTACACGTTACACTCGTTCCCATTGCCTGGAAGTGGAGATTTGTTGGCATTTATGTTGAAAGTGATGGAGCAGTACGAGGACGATATGAACCACAAGACCGGCAAATCACTGAACAAAACCACACTTTTCTACCACAGACTCATCGAGACATTCAAATTGGCTTTCAGTCGACGAACACTTCTGGAAGAGGACACCGATTATAACAACCCTTTTGTCAAACAATTGACTTCCGATGAGTTCGCCAAAGAAACAAAGGATTTAATCGACGACTCGAAGACTTTTCCCATAAAATCGGAAAGATATGGAAATAATATTTATATCACTGAAGATAAGGGAACGGCTCACGTGTCAGTCATCGACGGTGAGGGCAATGCGGTGGCTGTCAGCTCATCCATCGGGCAAATGTAAGAATATCCCATAACATACAGAATAGTGACCAAATTTATTGCATTATCTATAGCTTTGGGAGCAAAATATATTCAAAACGCACGGGTATTATATTAAACGACCAACTCTTTGATTTTAAGGTCGATTATCAGAAATATAAATATCCGGCAAATGAAACAAATCTAATAAATCCCAGCGACTCTTTGGGCGCCTCCTCCCTGCCGTCGATGACAACCGTCTGTTTTGTGGTTGAGTTGTAGACTAAGATAAGACAACCGCCTCCTAAGCCCATGGAGTGGGGTATCGTAACGCCCATACATAGGAGTACTGCAATGGCCGCGTCGGCTGCCGTTCCGTTTGAGTCCAAAATTTGTCTGAAATTTATGTCAAAATAAATTAATAACAATTAAATACAAATTAATTGGTAATACATACTTGCCTATGTGTGCGCATTGGGATGAGTCGGTAGAGACGGCATATCTATTATATACCCCTAAATGAGATTCCGAGTGATAGTCTCCTAAATAGTCATTTTTCATGTAATTGTTCACAAAATTGACAAAAACTGTGAGACAAATGACGAATAGTGAGACTGATATGAACAGGAATAGTGTCCGCTTTCTATACAATTCATACAAATTTTAAAAAGATGTTTTAGATTTAGAAATTATTTAATTGTGTTATCATTACCGATACAAAGTCTTGAATGCAGGCATTCTTCTTGTGAGGTATTAATGAGACACAATTCAAGCCAATTATCAGTTATTATAATTATATCTTTTAGTAAATGGAAAATTTTAGTTAATATTTTTACATTGTACACTATTTATAAATAATATATCTTGAATACATGCCTAATTTTGGTTCAAAAAGTATTTCTTTTATAAATTATCATAAATTATTTGATAATAATGTAAAACATGTCAATAAATTCTTATAATTTTATAGATAAATATTCAAAAAGGATTATAACTTTAAATTTTAAAGTGAATGAGAAAGAGAAGGAATTTTAGGCAAAACCCACAAAATATTTGACAATAACTGCAAATAACATGCTTATCAATCCTTCAAACTTACCCTGTACTGTATATTATTTCTGGAAATTAATCAAAATGTATAATAAAATAAATGTCAATTTAAAGTTAAAATCAAATATTCACTCAAAGACCTAAACATCAGTAAAGGTCACACCAAATATTTAATATAAAATAATTTTATTCAATTTAAATAATATTACAAAATCCAATAAAATTGAAGTTTATTTTTAAAAGTAATTGTCATTAAATATATTACTGTGTATTAGTAATTGTGTAATGATTTCATAACATTTACTTGATTTGTAAATTTTTTAATACTACAGTAAATAATCCGAAATATACATGACTTATATGAAATATTGATAAATTTATACTATTTAATGAAATTCTGAACTAAATTTTTGTTTTATAAGATATGAGCCATTAATTGCAAAAATACGAGTCATTCAATCATCAAATGAA